TCGACGCGCGGGGAAGGCGGAGCAGGAGGAGGTGCCGCTGCGGAGGATACTGGGGAGGCCGGGTGAGACACGCCGGACGGAGAAGGCCCCGGAGAAGGGGCAGCGGCCAGAGGTGGGGCATCGAAGTCTGCCCAAACAAGCGTCGGGGGAGGTGGAGGAGGCTCGCCCGTGGTCGCAGAGTGGAATGGGCGTGTCTCATCGAAGACGACATCACGGCTGCGAATCAGCTGTCTGGTGATTGGGTTGAGGAATAAGTAGTCTGGGGAGTCGGAGTTGTGCCCCAGGTACATGCAGGTCTGGGTTTTGGGACCAAGCTTGCCACCTTGCTTCCTGCGCGTGTGGGGGCTTAGCAACACATACGCGGTACACCCCCAGACGCGTAGAGAGCGGGCGGAAGGCGTGACCCCAAGCCAGAGAGCGGTAGGTGTGGTGTCGGACCGGTGGGGATGCGGATAAAGATTGTAGAGGAGTGCCGCATGGAAGAGGGCATATCCCCAGAGTGACCGTGGTGCGTTGGCGTGACTGAGGAGGCAGCGAGCGATCTGAACCAAGGTGTGGTTGCGGCTCTCTGCAATGCCGTTCTGCTGCGGGCTTTCGGGGAGCGTGAAGGTTTGCCGAATCCCTTGGGCCGCACAGAAGTTATCGAGTTTGCCATTGCGAAATTCTCCCCCGCCATCAGAATGGAGGCACTTCAGAGGAGTGCCGAACGTGACTTGAGCCTCGCGCACCCACGCCATGATGACATCAGGTGCCTCCGCCTTGGTATGCAGGAGGTGCACAGAAACATACCGCGAGTGGTCATCGACTAGTGTAAGAAAGTACCGATGACCGCCTTGGGATGCGACTGGAGCTGGGCCCCAGACATCCATGTGCACTAGGTCCAGCGGAGCAGCTGCGACGGATGGGGAGGAAGGATGCGGCTGCTGCCTGAGCTTGCTCTTGGTGCAGTCCAGGCAGGTGGGTGCAGGTGAGTCTGTTGGTGGAGAAAGCGCCGACGGGAGGCCAAGAAGAAGTTTCTTGGAAGCGATGTCGGCAAGTGTACGGAAGTTGGGGTGACCCAAGCGATGGTGGTAGAGGATGGTTGGGTTGGCGAAGCTGCGACACAAACACGGAGTGGTGCTGGCAGCTTGCGCTTGGGAGAGGGCGGCGAGAGGTGCAGGTGAACGCAGCGTGTAGAGCTTGCTACTGTTGAGTGTGAAGCGTGCTAGGAGCTTGTTGGACTTAGGGTCGAAGAGGCCACAGTGATCCGAGTGTGCTGGGAAGATCGTGGTGACGCCTGCCCGTTGGAGCTCGTGTTGGGCCACAAGATTGTGGCGTAGAGTGGGGACACACATGCTACTCATACTGCCCGAAGGAAAAGCTGGGCACAGAACTGTGGAGGAGCCCTTGGCGTGTGTTGTGAAATTGGAGTCTGCTCCAAGTAGACGGATTGGTGTCTCGTATGGCTTGAAGGAGTGTTCTTCCTTGAGAACCGTGTGAGTGGCCCCACTGTCGAGGGTGAACTCTATTGTGGCTGAGGGGCTTTGTGAGCCAGGATACTGCGAAATTGTCTCATTAACCATGGCAGTGCAAGGGAACAACATGTTCAGGCGCACATCAGCAGGTGCAGCCACAGCAGCCTTGATGGATTCCTGCGCTTCGAGTTGATTGACCTTGCGAGGAGCACGATTGACCATCCAGCTTGGCGGCTTTGAGGCGGTCCCATTGACGGCATACCACTCGTCATGCTTCTTCTTAAAGCAGGAGGCAAGGCTGTGGTTGGTGCCGCCACACACCTCGCCGGCACGAGGGCCGCGCTTGATGACGTAGGGACACGGGAGGAAGCGGTTGCGCTGGAATGGTGCCGAAGCGGCATAGGCTTGAGGCACGGGAGGGCGGATTGCATTGGCCTTGGCTTGAGCGCTGTTGTTCTTTTCGATAGAAAGAAGCGCGGATGAGACCTTGACAAATGTGAGGTCCGCAGGAGCAATGCCCAAGAGTATTCCGCATGTGACTTCGTATGCCGGAGTGAGGCCGACTAGGAGAGAGGCTGCAGGGGCTTGCTCGGGGAAGACTATCCCCAACTGTTTGAGTTCACCATGAATGGACTGCACCTTGGTAACATAGTCCGCCATGCCTGGCGAGTCCTCAAGCCGCACTTGGAACATGCTGGGGATGAGTATAGCAACTCCCACTGCAGTCTTGTTCAGGAAGCGGTCTTCGAGGTAGAGCCAAATGGCGTTGGCACTAGGGTAGTTGCGGTAGGTTTCGACGAGTTCGGGAAGAGCGGTGCCCATGAAGTCACCAATGACCGCACTATCGGCCTTCTCCCAATTCTTGTACTTGAGCAGTGCAGCAGCATAAACTGCTTCGGCGGCGGCATTAGCTGGATCGGCGGACCTCTCGGGTTTAGGAGGCTCTTTGCCGTCACCGATGTTGAAAAGGACGTCGGTGAGCTTGAGCCCCTTCACCTCGTGACTGAGGAGGTGCTTGTCGACACCATAGCGCCAAGCCTTGTAATTGGAGCAGGTGCCGTCCGGCTCGAGACGAAGGAGCGGGATCGGGTTGGCGAGTGAAGTGGTTGAGTAAGCCATTGCCGCTTGATTTTCGCGAAGCGACGCTCTTCAGTCACTGATAGGAACTTCGGTCTGTAGTGTGGCACTTCTGGAAATCGGTCGACGAGAATTGCTGAAATTCACTCTGACGGCTTCATCCAAATACCGGTAAGAAGGAAATGGCGTCGGCGAAATTTCGTTAAAACGCCGACTTGAAACTGAATCTGAGACTTTATCGAACCCCGGACCCACACACCCCCCCACACACCCCCAGGCCCTGTCCCGCAGCTACACAGCTCCGCAACCAGCTTTGCAACCAGCTCCACAACCAGCTCCGCTCTGCTTCCACTTGTGTACCTGCTCTTGCTTGATGCGAGACGTTCGTGGTGGCGATTTTGCGATGGGAGTTCGCCTATTCTGGCGGGGTCTGAGGGGAAACTCGAGAACGAGTTTTAAGAGATGGTCGAAATTGAGATTCGACCAACGAGAACCGAGCAGGAAATCGACGATGAGAAGCGTGAAAGCTTCAGAGATGACAATTTCACCGAGGTGGACCGCGAAGGTGGTCGACGATGAGATGCGCGACTGCAGAGTGGAGCACGTCGAAATTCCGACGACTCAAAACGAATGACGCGAGGATGAAGTGCACCTAGCACGTTCACGTTAAGATTAGGACCTTTATCTACGTGTGCTGATAGGTCGCTCTGATACCATGTAAGAAATAGAGTTGAAATTATTAATTAGGTAAGGAGCCCAAGGCTCTACAAGTACATGGCAAGGTGAGAGAGAATGGATGAATGGAGGAATCGGAGGGAATCTTCATTGGGATCTCCGGAGTCTCCAATTGGGTAATTGGAGATTGGGGGGATCACAATTGGTTGAGGTTGGAATTTGTGAGTACACCCCAACCCACCAGAAAATTCATAACTTAAACTAGGATATAATAGTACAAATACAAAGTGGGATTTGCAGTCTATTTCTAACACTTTTATATCCTAGTTTAGGTTAGGAATGTTCTAGTAGGATGGGGTGTATTCACAAATCCCAACCTCACCCAATTGTGATCCCCCCAATCTCCAATTACCCAATTGGAGATTTTGGAGATCCCAATGGGAATTCCCCCTTATTCCCCCTTCATCCATACTCTCTCACCTTGCCATGTACTTATAGAGCCTTGGACTCCTGACCTAATGAATGATTTCAGCCCTATTTCTTACAAGGCCTTGGTGTAAATGTCTGCCAGGTTGTCCTCTGTAACGTTCTTGCAGACCACCAAGTAATCCTGCCGGACCAGCTCCTGAACGAAGAAATTGCGGAGTTGAATGTGTTGGAGCGGCAGTGGAAGGCAGGGTCCTTTGTGAGATTGATAGTGCTGGCGTTGTCGCACCAGAGGGTGGGACAGCGTTGAGGAGGGCCTGCTTGCTGCGGCCCAGTGTGCGTCAGTGTGGCGACCGGTACCAACGAAGCGAGCAAGAATGCTGATAGGGTAGGCAAGGTCGGTGCGGGTGCACATCATAACATACATTATCAATCCAACAGGCTCAGTGCAAGGATGGTCAGAGGAGAAGGGAGCAGGAGGAGGGGCAAGCTGGAGGTCAGTCTACAGGGGAGTGGTAAACAGCTTGGCCTGCGTTATGTCAAACCGCTGCAAGACTTGGTCGATGTAGAAGGACTGGGAGAGGGTAATGGTGAGCGCTGCGCGATCCCCGGTGATGGTCATGCCCAGATAGGGCTTGAGCTCACCCAGCTCCTTGCAATTGAGGCGTGCACACAGGGCATCTTTCACGTGCTGCATGGTAGGAGCATTGACAACGAACATGATCATGTCGTCGACAGACACCAGGATGAAGAAGCGGGTGGGAGAAGAGCAAACGAAGAGTCTGGCATTGGACTGAGAGGCGTGGAACCCGAGGGACCGCACAATGGCGGCCAGTTGTTGTGTCACTCACGAGGGGTCTACTTGAGGCCAAAGACCGGGCGGGGTAGCTCCTAGACAGTGTTGGAAGGAAAGGCCGCATGAAAGCCTTGAGTCTGTCGCAGGAGGACCCACTCGTGGAGCTCGCCTTGCAGGAAGGCGTTGGAGACATCCATGGAAGCAATCTCCATGCCAATGCGGACGGCATAGTTGTGTTAGAATATACCATGCTATGCTAGTTGTGTATATTGTGTTTACATCCCTAGTTGGGTGTACACCTGTGTTGGGGTGTCAATCCAACCCAATTGTGGTTGGAGCCCCCAAACACAAGGACAATAATTGTGGGGGTACCACAAGTGGGTTGCTTAAGCCACTTGTGGTCCACCATACTTGGACCACCTCCCACTTGTGGTCAACCACATTTGGAAGGATCCTCTCTCCCTTGTGATTGGTCCTAACCCCCCCTTCCCTTCCAACCTTCCCTTCCTAGCTCATCTCTCTTTTCCTATGCAATGCCTTTGCTACATCAACAAACTCAACCTTTCTGTTTCTAACATGGTGTCAGAGCAATAATGGCTCACGCCAACTTTTAATCCCGATCCTTCCCCAAGCTTGCGCCCTGTCCCCTTCCAACGTGCACGTCATTGCCGTCCCCTCCATCGCCGCTGCTAGACTCCTAGCCGCCGCCTCTCTTTCCCTTCACAACTAGTTTTCTGTTGGGTGGATTTTCAAACACCCCCAGTGCGCCAAACGCCATAGCTCACTCACAAGTTGACAGAATTGAGTGATTTGACTTGCAAAAGAACGCTCTTGGTGTTAGCTACAACGTCGTGAAATTTCAGAGTGTTTCATAGATTGGATTGTTGGATATCGCTTTCCGAAGATTGCACACTTTCCTGGATGTGATCACGAAGTGCTACTGATAATTCCACCAAGTCCTACTTTCATCAGCTAACTGCCAGCTTTCTCCATCAGCTAACTGCCATCAGCTAGCAGCAGCAGCACCAGAAGGAGCAGCAGACGCAGCAGCAGCAGAAGCAGCAGCAGCAGCAGCAGCAGCAGCAGCAGCAGCAGCAGCAGCAGCAGCAGCAGCAGCAGCAGCAGCAGCAGCAGCAGCAGCAGCAGCAGCAGCAGCAGCAGCAGCAGCAGCAGCAGCAGCAGCAGCAGCAGCAGCAGCAGCAGCAGCAGCAGCAGCAGCAGCAGCAGCAGCAGCAGCAGCAGCAGCAGCAGCAGCAGAAGGAGCAGCAGACGCAGCAGCAGCAGCGGCAGCAGCAGCAACAGCAGCCGCAGCAGCAGCAGCAGCATCAGCAGCAGCAGCAGCAGCAGCAGCAGCAGCAGCACCAGCAGCAGCACCAGCAGCAGCACCAGCAGCAGCAGTAGGAGCAGCAGCAGTAGCTACAGCCATCACCATCCTCCCCTCCGATTTGAGCCGCCACGGGTCCACCCGCCGCCGCTCCCTCCCGGCCACCGCGGGTCCACCCGCCATCGCCTTTCTCCCACTCCGTGTCACCAATGGCATCCTTTCCCCCTCCTGTCGACCTCTCGACCCTCGATCATTTGGTGCGCGCTGCTGACGACTCAGCAACTAACTGGTATTCCTTTGTCAACAACCTCCACCGCGTCCTCGGCAGTGCATATGTCCTGCCGTTCTGCCTCCTGGACATCATGCTTGGTTGCTGGACACCTTGGGGACCCGCCGCCTCACCCTGGCGATCCCCCCCCTCTCATTCCCCATCTCGGAGAGGAACCTCTGCCCCCCGTGGTACCCGTTGGCACCAGCACTCGCGCTGCCACTGCTGAAGTTGAGCAGCTCTTCGTTACTCAGCGTCGTGAGTTCCTCGTGCTCCATATTGATTACCTGATCGCTTTGGAGGAACACGAGCGGTCAGCCACCCTCCGCAACCAGCATGCCGCTACCGCCGCCGCTTATGCCGCTGACTCTGCGCGATTTGCTGAGCGTCGTCGCGCCTGGCTCGAGGCGGACAGCCGTGCTACTGGTGCTCTTCTCCTTGCCATCCCGTCTGCGCTCATGCGCAACTTCCAGGCACGTCGCATCGGCTCGTGCCAGATCTGGCTCGAGCTTGAGGCAATGCTCGAACGCACCGACTTCGATGCTGTCGGACCGCTCTTCAAGGAATACTTAAGCATCACGATCGAACATAGTGCTGGCGCCGTTGACTACACCAGCCGTCTCCTGGACCTTGCCTCCCGCCTTGAGGCTCGCCAGACTACTCTCCCCCCCAACCTTCAGATCTACCGTCTCCTCGAAGGCCTCTCCCCTCAGTATGAAGTGCGTGTCATCGCCTTCACTGAGGCTGAGCCCCGCGCCTCCCTTGACACTGTGGTCCAGTGGATCATTGACGCTGAGGCCCGCCTTCTCTCAACCCCCCCCTCCGGCTTGAACTCCACCGAGTCCCAAAACCCCCAGCTTGCAGTCGCACAGCCGCGTCGTGGCGGGCGCCCACGTGGCGGCCGCACCAACCCTCAGGGAGGGGGTGGAGGTGGCAGTTGTGGGGGCAACAGAGCCGGTGGCGGTGGTGGTGGGGTCAAGGGTGGCAGCAGTGGTGGTGGTGGAGGCAGTGGTGGCTCATCTGGTAGCCGTGGTGGCCGCCCTGGCACTCTCCCCCCATGTTCCTATCTTCGCGGTTTTTGTCCCAGGGCGGGTGAGCGCTGCACCCAAACCAACCATCCCCCAACGACCTGCTTCAAGGCGTATGATAACGCCTGGTTCGAGCGCGGCAACACTGGCACACCCCCACGCTGGTCTGCCATGGATCCCCGCCCCTCTCTCCAGGATGGCAAAACTCTTCCGTCTTTCCTCCCCTCTCATCTTCAGCTCTCCTCCTCCTCCTCCTCTGTCGCTGACCCCATAACTTCCCAGGAGCTGCAGCATTTTCACTACTTCCAGCAGCTGCAGCTGCACCAGCAGCTGCAGCAGCAGCAGCAGTGGGGCTCTGGTGGTCAGGCTGCAGCCGCAGCTGCAGGAGCCGCAGCCGCAGCATCTGCATGACAGCAGCAGCAGCTTGGCTTTGGCACTGCCGCCATGGCTACCACAGCCACAACAGGTCCTCCTGGCTTTCCCCTCTGGGGCTCTCCTTCCCCTAGTGCTCCCACCTCCCACTCCAGCTTTCTAAGCGAGCTCATGCGTTCTTCCCCTGCTTCCACTTCCATGTATTCCTCTGTTTTTAATGCCAGTGATTTCCAGTACCCCATGTCTTCAGCTCCCTCCTTGCTCACGATAGACTTTATTCTTGATAGTGGTGCCACTGAAACTGCCCTCAAAGACGCCGGCACCCTCAACTCCCCTCGCGAAATCGCCTCCACGAACGTCTCGCTTCAAATCAAGAGCAGGTACACAGGTTGAAGCGGAGCGGAGCTAGTTGCGGAGCTGGTTGCGGAGCTGGTTGCGGAGCTGTGTAGCTGCGGGACAGGGCCTGGGGGTGTGTGGGGGGGTGTGTGGGTCCGGGGTTAGAATAGGCTCAGATTCAGTTTCAAGTCGGCGTTTTAACGAATTTTCACCGACGCCATTTCCTACGTAGCGGCATTTTGATAAAGCTGTCAGAGTGATTTTCAGCAATTCTCGTAGACCAATTTCCAGAAGTGCCGCGCTGCACAACGACAATGGCTTACTCAACCACTTCACTCGACAACCCGATCCCGCTCCTTCGTCTCGAGCCGGACGGCACATGCTCCAACTACAAGGCTTGGCGCTATGGTGTCGACAAGCACCTCCTCAGTCGCAAGGTGAAGGGGCTCGAGCTCACCGACGTCCTTCTCAACATCGGTGACGGCAAAGAGCCTCGTAAACCCGAGAGGTCCGCCGATCCAGCTAATGCCGCCGCCGAAGCAGTTTATGCTGCTGCACTGCTCAAGAACAAGAATTGGGAGAAGGCTGATGGTGCGGTCATTAGTGCCTTCATGGGCACCACTCCTCCCGAACTCGTCGAAACCTACGACAACTACCCGTCTGCCAACGCCATTTGGCTCTACCTCGAGGATCGCTTCCTGAACAAGACTGGAGTGGGAGTTGCTATACTCATCCCCAGCATGTTCCAAGTGCGGCTTGAGGACTCGCCAGGCATGGCGGACTATGTTACCAAGGTGCAGTCCATTCATGGTGAACTCAAACAGTTGGGGATAGTCTTCCCCGAGCAAGCCCCTGCAGCCGCTCTCCTAGTCGGCCTCACTCCGGCATACGAAGTCACACGCAAGATACTCTTGGGCCTTGCTCCTGCAGACCTCACATTTGCCAAGGTCTCATCCGCGCTCCTTTGTGCCGAAAAGGACAACAGCGCTCAAGCCAAGGCCAATGCAATCCGCGCTCCCGTGCCTCAAGCCTATGCCGCTTCGGCGCCATTCCAGCGCAACCGCTTCCCCCCGTGTCCCTACGTCATCAAGCGGCCCTCGTGCTGGCCAGGTGTGTGGCGGCACCAACCACGCCCTTGCCTCCTGCTTTAAGAAGAAGGATGACGAGTGGTATGCCGTCAATGGGACCGCCTCGAAGCCGCCAAGCTGGATGGTCAATCGTGCTCCTTGCAAGGTCAATCAAGTCGAAGCGCAGGAATCCGTGCAGGCTGCTGTAGCCCCCACTGCTGATGTGCGCCTGAACATGTTGTTCCCTGGCACTGCCATGATTAATGAGACAATTTCGCAGTGTCCCGGCTCACAAAGCACCTCAGCCACAATAGAGTTCACCCTCGACAGTGGGGCCACTCACACGGTTCTCAAGGAAGAACACTCCTTCAAGCCATACGAAACACCAATCCGTTTACTAGGAGCAGACTCCAATTTCACAACACACGCCAAGGGCTCCTCCACAGTTCCGTGCCCAGCTTTTCCTTCGAGCAGTGTTACGGGCATGTGTGTTCCCACACTACGCCACAATCTCGTGGCCCAACACGAGCTCCAACGGGCAGGCGTCACCACGATCTTCCCAGCACACTCGGATCACTGTGACCTCTTCGACCCTAAGTCCAACAAGCTCCTAGCACGCTTCACACTCAACAGTAGCAAGCTCTACACGCTGCGTTCACCTGCACCTCTCGCCGCCCTCTCCCAAGCGCAAGCTGCCAGCACCACTCCGTGTTCGTGTCGCAGCTTCGCCAACCCAACCATCCTCTACCACCATCGCTTGGGTCACCCCAACTTCCGTACACTTGCCGACATCGCTTCCAAGAAACTTCTTCTTGGCCTCCCGTCGGCGCTTTCTCCACCAACAGACTCACCTGCACCCACCTGCCTGGACTGCACCAAGAGCAAGCTCAGGCAGCAGCCGCATCCTTCCTCCCCATCCGTCGCAGCTGCTCCGCTGGACCTAGTGCACATGGATGTCTGGGGCCCAGCTCCAGTCGCATCTCAAGGCGGTCATCGGTACTTTCTTACACTAGTCGATGACCACTCGCGGTATGTTTTTGTGCACCTCCTGCATACCAAGGCGGAGGCACCTGATGTCATCATGGCGTGGGTGCGCGAGGCTCAAGTCACGTTCGGCACTCCTCTGAAGTGCCTCCATTCTGATGGCGGGGGAGAATTTCGCAATGGCAAACTCGATAACTTCTGTGCGGCCCAAGGGATTCGGCAAACCTTCACGCTCCCCGAAAGCCCGCAGCAGAATGGCATTGCAGAGAGCCGCAACCACACCTTGGTTCAGATCGCTCGCTGCCTCCTCAGTCACGCCAACGCACCACGGTCACTCTGGGGATATGCCCTCTTCCATGCGGCACTCTTCTACAATCTTTATCCGCATCCCCACCGGCTTCACACCACACCTACCGCTCTCTGGCTTGGGGTCACGCCTTCCGCCCGCTCTCTACGCGTCTGGGGGTGTACCGCGTATGTGTTGCTAAGCCCCCACACGCGCAGGAAGCAAGGTGGCAAGCTTGGTCCCAAAACCCAGACCTGCATGTACCTGGGGCACAACTCCGACTCCCCAGACTACTTATTCCTCAACCCAATCACCAGACAGCTGATTCGCAGCCGTGATGTCGTCTTCGATGAGACACGCCCATTCCACTCTGCGACCACGGGCGAGCCTCCTCCACCTCCCCCGACGCTTGTTTGGGCAGACTTCGATGCCCCACCTCTGGCCGCTGCCCCTTCTCCGGGGCCTTCTCCGTCCGGCGTGTCTCACCCGGCCTCCCCAGTATCCTCCGCAGCGGCACCTCCTCCTGCTCCGCCTTCCCCGCGCGTCGAGCCCGGCTCACCAGTCTCCTATCGGAGGCGCCCAGTCTCTCCGGTCCCACCGCAGCCGCCTTCGTCTCCGGTCTCTAGTCGCACTCGTTCCAAGGGACCGGCTCCGCCTCTCGCCTGGGGATCAGCCGCCTTCTCCATCCGGTGTTCGGTCACCCCGCCTCCTCCTGCCGGGGGTGATGTCCCCTCCATCCGTATTCCCCCCCGTGCACTTCTGGAGGACAGGCATGAGGAGCTGTTTGACCTTCACGCGGTCTGCCAATTTCTCTCACATCTTCCCGGACATTACTGACTGCCCTTCCCTCAACTTCACCGAGAACCCGACCATTCCGACTCCTCGCACAAAAGAGGAAGCTCTCTCGGGGCCTTATAAGAAGGAGTGGAAGGCAGCAATGGATGTGGAGAACGAGGCGTTCATTCGCAACAACAGCTTTGACGATGTTGTTCCCCCTTCCGGTGTCAACATCGTCGGCGGAAAATGGATCTTCCGAGTCAAACAACTCCGAGGCAAAGCTCCACTGTTCAAGGCACGATACGTGGCGAAGGGTTTCACCCAGAAGGAGTATCTCGACTTCTTCGAAACCTTCTCGCCCACGGCCAAGCTCCCGACCGTGCGCGCTCTTCTTGATATAGCCGCTCGCGGCAACTTCGAGATCAAGTCCATGGACGCCTCCTCCGCCTTTCTCCAAGGCCAGCTCAAGGAGGATGTTCACATGGAACGCCCACCGGGGTTTCCTGGCACTTACCCTGCCAACACAGTGTGGAAGCTGAAGCACCCAGTGTATGGCCTCAAGCAGGCTCCTTGTGAGTGGCACAACAAGGTGAAGGAAGTCCTCCTTGCACTTGACTTCCATCCCTCTGCCTCAGATTCCAGTCTCTTCGTTCGTCACTCCTCTGAGCCCTTCTACATACGTCGACGACTTCATTCTAGCCGCCAGAGATCCAGCCGACATGGCAGCTGTCCAGTCTGCTCTCAGCTCCGCCCTTCTCATGAAGGATCTTGGTGACCTCAAGAACTACCTCAAGACGCTCCTCCCAAGGGTACTGCTTCACCCTTGGTAGCGGAGTCATCAGCTAGCGCTCCACTCGGTCCTCTGCAGTCTCCCTGTCGTCCTGCGAGGCCGAGCTCTACGCGGGCACAATGGCTGCTCAAGAGGCACGCTGGCTCTCCTTTCTCCTCGCTGAGTTAGGCTACCCCCAGCAGTCGCCCACCCTGTGGTGTGACAACCAGAGTGCCATTCACCTAACCAAGGATCCTGTGTTCCACTCTCGCACCAAGCACATCGAACTTCGTCATTTCTTCATCCGAGATCTTGTTCAGAGTGACCAGCTGACGGTACGGTACATCGCCTCAGATTGCAACCTCGCCGACCTCTTTACCAAGGCTCTCGGCAAGGCTGACCACCATCGCCTTCTCCGTTCCATGGGGCTATGTGCTCCTTGACCGGGTTTGCAGTCTATGGGGGTGTGTTAGAAATAGACTGCAAATACCACTTTTGTATTTGTACTTTTATATCCTAGTTTAGGTTGTGAATGTTCTAGTGGGTTGGGGTGTACTCACAAATCCCAACCTCACCCAATTGTGATCCCCACAATCTCCAATTACCCAATTGGAGATTCCGGAGATCCCAATGGGGATTCCCTCAAATTCCCCCTTCATCTATTCTCTCTCACCTTGCCATGTACTTATAGAGCCTTGGGCTCCTTACCTAATCAATCATTTCAACTCTATATCTTACAGAAGGCTATGAGCAGAAGATTGACAGCTCCTTATAAATTTCTGTAGCAAATTGTTATGGCACCCAGAAAACTCGCGGCCTTCAAAAAGCTATATCCAAAGATTGAATACATGAAACACCGTGAAATTCGGATATGTTGTTGCTTGCAGCATCAGTTTTCCAATGCAAGTTGAATCTCTCAATTCCGTAGCTTACCAGATGAGCTATGGCATTTGGTGCACTGGGGGTTAATCTGCCTTCGGAGAAGTTGACAGTCCTCAGAGTCACAATCATTGAACGTTACAAGTTCAAAGACATGATGGAAAACATTGAAGCTCAGTTTGGAAGATGGGGTAGGAAGGGAAGGATGAAAGGAAAGGACCCTGAAGGCCCTTGGTCAAGAACATGACAAGAGTCAAATCCTTGACTCCCCATCTCAGGTTCAACCAGCCTACCCAGACAAAAGTCACACTGTGCCAGGTTGGCCTCCAAACCCCAAATGCTGCAGCTGCAAGGTGAGGACAAAAGTCCCACACATGCTGGTCCCTCCTCGTTATAGGGCTCTCCAACTTTGGTGTAGCAGCTGCCAAGGACTTCCAAAGCACCAATTTTGCCAAAGCGAAGGAAACAGGCTGGTGGGGGAACAAAGGATCGAGTGAAGGTGAAAGAATGGGTAAATCCAACCATCTACCCTGCACGTACCAGAATGACAACGAGAAAGCTGCTGAGCTCTACATGTGGAGGAGCCACAACTGAGCAGCAGCAAGAGGCTCAAGGCGAAGATGCTGTGGTGTAGCAGCTGCCAAGGACTTCCAATGAGTTGTAACCATCCATCAAACGTTTCTTCGTAACTTGTTCATATGTGCTCCGATTCCAACAACTCTTAGCTCGTTCGAATGTCCTCAATATCATGCACAATCCAAGCACATCTGCACAAGCACAAGATGAACATGCAAAGACATGCAAACCCAACAAACCACACAAACAACAGAGCACACGAAACGTGCAAACGAAATGATGCGAACAGACGACAGGATGACGTGCAAACGAATATGCACCAACACAAGAGTCAGATGACGAGGAGCCTGCATACTGCTTTTACGCACCAATTCAACCCATAAGCATGTATCATGCGCCAGCTGGGCCTCAGCTGGGGAAATGGCTGGTGTCAAGAGATGTGGAGTACAACAGCTAGATCAATAATCACACATGGGTTATGGTGAACTTGCCAAATGGAAAGAAGGATATGCAAGTGGCTGGCAATATTAAGGCGGATGAAAAAGGAGAGCCATCGGTTTACAAGTGCCGGCTGGTGGCAAAAGGATTTCAGCAGAAAGATAAGGAAGACTACAAAGAGGTGTTTGCCCCAATTGCTAGGTCTCCGACACTACGTGTGCTGCTGGTGGTAGCTGCTGTGCGCAAGTGGAAGGTGAAGAAAATAGACATCATTACCACTTTTCTGTATGGCATAATGGAAGAGGTGGTCTACATGGTACAACCACGTGGCTATAAAGATGGAACCAGTCGTGTCTGCTAACTCAACAAGGTCATCTGTGGCTTGAAGCATGCACAGAGATGCTGCTACAACAGGCTGGCCAGCGCACTGGAACGGATTGGATTCTGTGCGAGTGCATGCGACGAGAGCCTATACCTGATGGCCGAGGGGGAGTTTCTTGTGCTTCTGCTGGTGTTCGTGGACGACATCCTGCTTTTCAGTAGCAGTGACAAGGTGATCGATGGGGTGCATTGGAAGCTTACAGAGCAGGTGCAAGTCACTTGGGAATGCATATTGAGAGGGATGCTGAACGTGGCTGGCTCAAACTGCATCAAGGACAATACATCAACACCTTGGCTGAGAAGTACTCTCTGCAGGAAGAACAAAAAGTGACTGCTCCTTTACCTTCCGAGTTCAAACTCATAAAGGCAGCTGAAGGAGAAGGTATTGAGAGTGAAGACCATAGGCAATTCCAATCCATGGTCGGGAGCCTACTCTATGCTGCTGTGCATACTCGGCTTGACATCTGCTTTTCTGTAGGACAGCTGGCTTGAGTAGTGCAAACCCAACAGAAGAGCAGTGTAGTGCAGTGGAGAGAGTGGTGCGTTACCTCAAGTCATACTACTGGAAGGACAGTATTCAGCCTCTGCTCAACTCAGGCAGAAACGAGTTGAAGTTCTCAAAGAGAAGGGGGAGCAGCTCGGAGAAGGAAAGGTGTTCCTTTCCTGCTTTGCTGATGCCACATGGGCTTCTGAGCATGAGGATTCATCATCAGTAGGTGGATACATTTGCATGGTGAGAGGTGGGCCTGTAAGTTGGAGGTCCAAGAAGCAGTCTGAAACGGCACTATCTTCAGTGGAATCTGAGTACATGGCAATGTTTCATGCGGCAAAAGAAATCAACTAGCTATAGAGACCATTGAAGGAGATCGGACATGAACAGACTTGTGCGACACCCCTGTTCAGTGACAGGAAGGTAGCCATTGCTATGGCACGCAACGCAGTTCTTTATGGGCCGAGAAATCACATGAGGATCAAGTGGCATTGGCTGCGGAAGGACGTGAACCTTGGGACACTGGATCCGAACTATGTCAAAACTCAGCAACAGCCATCCTTATTTGCATGTGTTTCGTATGCTATGTTGTTTGTGTGGTTTGTTGGGTTTGCATGTCTTTGCATATTGATCTTGTGCTTGTGCAGATATGCTTGGATTGTGCATGACATCGAGCACATTCCAACGAGCCAAGAGCTGTTGGAATCGGAGCACATACGAAGAAGTTAGGAAGAAACGTATGATGGATTTGTTATGACTTATTGGAAGTTAACAGCAGCTGGTACACCAAAGTTGGAGCGCTCTATAAGGAGGAGGGACCAAATTGTGTGGGACATTTAGTTCTCACCTTGCAGCTCCAGCATTTGGGATTGGATGCCAACCTAGCACAATATGTACTGTGGGGATTTTGTCTTGCCAGACTGGTTGAACCTGAGTATTGGTTGGCTGGACAAAGGGATCAAGACCTTGACTCTTGTCATGTTCTTGACCAAGGGCCTTCAGGGTCCTTCCCTTTCATCCTTCCCTTACTACCCCATCTTTCAACTGTGCTTCAATGTTTCCATCATACCTTTGAGCTTTTAAGCTTCAATGCGGGCGGGGGGGGGGGGGGGGTGGGTTTGAGAGAAGGCGGGCGTTAGCGTCAATGATCCACTGGACCACGGTGTTGAGGGAGGCTCGAGGCTGAGCCTCAATGAAGGCGATGATACACACTTCATACTGAGGGGAGAGGCCTTTGAGGAGACGGTAAATCTGGTAGTTGGAGGGGAGAATTGTCTGGTGAGCCTCTAAGCGGGAGGCAAGGTCCAGGAGGCGGCTGGTGTAGTCAACGGCGGGGATGGCCCCCATTGGTGGCGCGGAGTGGGAGGAAAGTGACGGTGGGTGGACTCGCGGTGGCTGAGAGGGGGCGATGGTGGGTGGACCCACAGCAGCTGGAGGATGAGGAGGGGAGGATGGAAACGGCTGCGGCTACTGCTGTTGCTGTTGCTGTTGCTGCTGCTGCTGCAGATGCAGCTCCTCCTCTTGCCACTGCTGTTGCTGTTCCTTCGGTTGCTGCTAATGCTGCTGCTGGGCTGCAGCAACGATCACGTGGCGATGAGCAGGCGCACGTGAGGAGGCAAAAGATGGTGGAAGATGATTATTAGGAGATGGAAGTACGACTTAGTCGATAATTCAGCAGCACTTTGTTATGACGTCTAGGAAAGTGCACGAATTTTGGCAAACAATATCCGTCAATCCAATTGGCGAAACAGCCTGAAAATTGAAGACACCATAGCTTACAACACCAGCTTTCTAATGCAAGTTAAATCGGTCAATTCTGTAAATTACCTAGTAAGCTAGGCGTTTGGCGCACTGGAGGTGTTTGAAATTGTACGAAACGGAGAACTAATAGTGGAGGGAACAAGAGGTGGCAGCTAGAAGAATAGCGGCAGTGATAGAGGGGTCGGCAATGAGGTGCACGTCGGAAGGGGACGGGGCGGATTGTGAGAAAGGATCGAGATAAAAATTTGGTGTGAGCCATTATTGCTCTATAACATGTTAGAAACGGAAAAGGGATTACACAGGAAGGGATATGAGCTAGGAAGGGAAGGTTGGAAGGAAAGGGGGGGTGAGGACCAATCACAGGGGAGAGGGGATCTTTACAATGTGGTTGATCACAAGTGGGAGGTGGTCCAAGTCTGGTGGACCACAAGTGGCTTGAGCAACCCACTTGTGGTGCTCCCACAATTGTGGTCCTTGTGTTGGGGGGCTCCAACCACAATTGGGTTGGATTGACACCCCAACACATGTGTACATCCAACTTGGGGTGTATAAATAGTATTCACTAATAGCATAGTATGCTACTTTCTAACAACCTGCTCTTGTAAACCAATGGCTCAATTTTCTTATCCGTCTTGATTCTTGCCAGTCACTTGCACTGTATTGCCTTCTTCCCATTTGGCAAGTCCATCAGATCCTATTTGTGATTCTCGATCTGAATGTTGTACCCCGCATCTCTTGAAACCCGCATTTTCCCCCGTTCTGGCCCAGCTAGCGCGTGATCCATGCTTGTAGGTTTAATTGGTGCATAAAACAGTATGCGGGCTCCTCGTCATCTGACACATTGACATCACCCAAGAACAGCACTGCATCTCCATCTTGAGCCTGTTGCTGCTGCTCAGTTGTAGCTCCCCCACTTGTAGAGCTCAGCAGCTTTCTCGTTGCCATTCTGGTACGTGCAAGGTAGATGGTTGGGTTAACCCATTCTTTCACCTTCACCCAATCCCTTGTCACCCTACCAGTCTGCTTTCTCCGGTTTGGTAGACTTGGTGCTTTGGTTGTCTCCTGCACATGTCCCTCCACCAATCTGCGTACTCTGTTTTGGCACAGATGGTGTTTTGGCAGACAGGTGTGCCAAGGTATTTGTTTGCATGCCATCAGCCAAGGTCACGTCAATCCGGGCGTGGATAGTGGGGGTTGTGTCCAATGAGCGACACAAATGGCAACCGGTCTTGCATCTCTTGGACTGCCATCGGGCCCATTGACCCCTCTGCATTCAAAGCACACACTGTGGCGGATGGTGTGGACACGAAATTGTCAGATGGTTCCTCTCTGTAAGCAACAAGCTTGAATTGGCCTTCTCGTGACCATGCCTTGCCCTCTTTCCGATCATACATTATGTGTCATGGTTGAAGTAGTTTGTGTTCCGTATCGCAATATTTCAGGCAACTCGCACAACCCCTGGTCACAAACAAGTTCAACTGAAAGTTCCGCGCGAGTGGTCGGAAACGCCAACAGTATTTCCGACTGGTGAGGGCACAGATTGCTACCTGAACTGTGCGTTCTTCATTCTGCTGCTCTTGCTATTTTTTCTGCACTGCACTGGTGGAGTGGCACATGGGGGGGTTATGTGTTTTCAAATACGGATAGTATTTCTAGGGGTGCTTGGCTTGTTGTGGAGGTATCGCAAGTGTCATTGCACTGAGATATGCTGGTCATCTGATCTGAAGGCTGCTGATGGTGATGCTTAAAAAAATGGACAAAAATTGCTAACCAAGACCACATTGGGGGCTTAAACTGTTTCTCGATTAGGCTACCAGGTATCGGTCTCTCCATACTGTTAGAAATAGATTGCAAATACCACTTTTGTATTTGTACTTTTACATCCTAGTTTAGGTTATGAA